CTGGGAGGGAGCGAGGGCTTGGCAGGGGCCAGTAGTCCGCTGTGCGTATCCCCGTGCTAAGGCTGAGAGAACCTAGGGGTTCACCGGAGGCTCCGCAGATCCGTGCTGGCAATCGCATTCCCTCTGGCAGGCAGGGATGTGCTCAGGCGCTGATGCAGGAGGTGGCAGTGGGTCCTCCCGTTTCCTGTCACCCAGACGCCTCTTACTGTGGCCCCCAAAGTGAAAACCACAAAACCACATTGCCGACAGCTGCCCCGAGAGAGTTGGAGAGGAAAGGTTCCCTCACCCTTCGAGGCCTCCATCACAGCGTTCGTATTTACCTTCTTACAGCTTCACTCAACATCCGTAGCGTCAGTGCCGGTGTTGGGAGAACAGAGTATCCTGCATTTGGGTGCTCTCTGGTGCCTGAAGCTGTGCCTGGGATTTTATGTGACATTTCCCTGAAGTCATACTGATAGGTTGCTGAATCTGAAAGGATTCAACTATTAGTTTGTTTACTTCTTTCAAATGTTTTGTTTTGAGAGGGAGACTAGTCTAGTGAATTTTGTTTTCGTTAATTCCCTTGAGTTTGTTGGTGTTCTGTTTCCAGCACTGCGGGAAAGTCAGGCTGGGGAAAAAATATATGTATATATGACAACTGAAACTTACGAAAATGGTACTAATTGTGTTAGAGTTTGTAAAGACCTTTGTTTACAAAATAAATTGGTGAGTTTAATTGATAGTGACCCTTTTAAGTACTGTATATCTGGCTTGTTATGTAGAAGGTATTGTGGATCTTAAAGAAGTGATGCAATAAAACCAGGAAAAATGCCTAGCAGTCATTTACATTTTGTTTGGACAATATCTGCATAACTTATTAACAAAAAGACAGGGCATCTCATCCTTCATTTTGGAAGCTGCATCTGTTCAGTTTGGATCACCACATGTGTCTTTTATGTTTCACAATTCTCCCTTTGTAATACAGTCCCCGTAAGATGTGTTATTATTGGAACCAATTCTGAGATCTTTGTGTATACCATTAAGATTGCTAGAAGGATAGCTTGATTTTCAGCATGTTTTTCATGGTTAAGAAGTTCTTATTTTCATCACTCTAGCTGCCCCTCTACTTGAAATTACCCTCCCTGCAGCAGAGCTGGCAGGCTGAAATGTGTACCATTTTAGCCACTCTTGTGCAAGGTATCTTTGTAGTTTAAACTCATTTTTTAGCTGTTCAATTTAAGCCATTGGACTTTGCATTGAAATTGGTCAAGTATGGGCTTGTGTACTCTTTTCTCAGTTCCTCTGGGGAAGAATAAAGGTGAGTAGGCAGTAATTTTTGGTAGAAAAGTAGCAAACAGGAGGTAGCATCTTAGGTTGCTGTAGGTGTTTGCTAAGCGAACCTACGTTGTTGCCCATTGTCAATTATGGCAAATTGTGTGTGTAAAGAGAACAGGTTATATGTTAGGGCATGGATGTTTAGTCTTCAGCTTCTTTGCTGCTGTAAAATGTAAGAACCAGTGTATTAAAGATAATTACTGGTTTTAGGAAGTCTTACTTTATTAGTCTTTTTGTTTACCTTAAATTGCCTTGCCTTCGCTTTATTCAGATACATTCCAAATAGCTAGGATAAATACTCTTTCTTGAACACTGCTTCCCACTATTTCAGCGTGAATGACTTTCATGAGAACAAAATGTGTAACTTCAATGTTGCTACCAGTTACAACCAACTAATGCTTGTAAACTGAGTGTTAGACACAACAGAAGATTCCAACTATTGCCTGTAGTTGTTCACGCTCTCTTTATAGAAGATTTATTAATATAGCAGTCCATGTGCAGCATTTTGTAAGGAGATAAATACAGTATGCATTGGTGTTCTTCAATTAAACTGGTGTTTTTAAAAATATCTTCTAATGATCAGAGTTTAAGTATGAGCTCTTCTGCCCTGCTTGTCAGTGGCAGGTTTATGTTACCTTGAGTCATTTATGGCTTTCTTTCTTAAAACTCTGAAGTTCACTTGATTTTCAGATGGAGCTGTGTGCCTAAGAATATGATTGCATAAGTTAAGTTAGCATTTTAATAGGTTTCTTACCCTTGTTATGTGCCACTTCTCATACCACAGTCTGTTGTTGCTCACGTTCTCTAGGCTTTTTGTGGTGCAGTGAGTTAAAATGTGTCTGTGCTCAGTTTCTGCATTTCAGCTATAAAGCAGCAGGTTCTTAAAGTGTGCTAACTTAGTGGCCTGATTTAGCATAAGGTCATACAATTGCCAGCACTTCTGAAAAAGCTGTGCATAAAATGTGTGTGCATCAGCTTCCTGATCCATTTTGTGAATGAAGATGCCTTTCAAAGAGTATAGTGATAGTACTGGAAGGAAAGTGGTGTTAGCCTTTAAAAGACAGTGTGAAATGCCATAAATAGCTACTTAATGAAGTAATGTAAAAACAATCCTGGTTATGGTTACGCTAGTGGTGTTAGAAATTACAAATAAGAATACAAAGAGATAATGAGACCCTTGATCCCATTGCAATCAGTAATGTAAGTCTTACTGATTTCAGTGGAAGTAGGAAAAAATATAGCTCATTAATTATAGACTCCTAATGGAAACGCTCACAAGAAGGGCTAGGCTGTGAAGTGTCAGAATGGCCCTCAATTTTATTTCTCTTTCTCATAGGGATAAGGTTTTAGTTAAAAAAGCCTAGGACATAACTCAGTTTTTATGTTGACATTGAATAAACAGGCTTCATTGAATGTTGCAGGGGCAGGAGAAAAAAAATCTCCTGTGTTTACTGTTTCTGTATAAACCTGTGCACACTTCAGTTACTCTACTTTTCTGATCATTTGTGTGCTTAGCTTTTTTGCTTTGATGTTTGCAGAGTGCATGTGAATTTGCATCAAATAAGTAGGATATTTTTTGATTTATTCCCTTCCTGCCCCTTACCATCCCTGTGCAGCTCAAGACAAAAGGGAAGAGGAGCGTACTAAAATGTCACCTGAAGTTGCCTTGAACAGAATTTCTCCAGCGCTCTCACCCTTCATTTCCAGTGTGGTCAGAAATGGAAAAGTAGGACTGGATGCTACTAATTGTTTACGGATTACAGACTTGAAATCCGGGTAAGTAAGTTCCTCATCCAAAAAGAATACTCAACTGCTCACAGTGAAGATGTCTTTTCAGGACTGAATTTTTCTGATGTATCTGGGGCTAACATACTGGCTGGGTTATTTTTTGTCTTACTACTGTTTTGTAGTTTGGGAGACTTAATTTGTCATATCGTTGGCGATAATAATCTTGTTAAAACGCTTTTATCACTGCCACTTGATAGTGCTGTTTTTCAGCAGTGCGATAGTTATAAACACTATTTCCTGTTGTTTATCACTTGCTTACTGGATCTTTTCTGTAAATTAAAAACTTGAAGATAAATTTATGTGACCTTACCTCAGTCATGAATATGCTAAATAAGAAAAAAATTAACTTTTCTGTTATCTGACCTCCCTCAAGATGAGTACATCAATGGCTGTAGGGCCAAATGTTTGAAATAGGCCAAGCACTCCTCTTATTTTTAATTCCAGAAGGGTTTATGATGGTTTTGTAGTAATAAAGTTTGGGATCCACATATACAGTGGGACTCTGGTGTGTGACCTCTGTGAACAATACATGAGGGAAGTGAAATGCTGAAAGTAGAGTTTACTTTAGACATTGTACAGAGAGGGGAGACTCCCAAGGTGGCTGTTAAAAGAATACTTAAGATGAGACATGTCTGAAATTGCTTTATTTGTTTTAGAGTTGGTCATCTAACGGCATCCTCGATTCGGGTATTCGTTTGATACTGGAGATCAAAGCCTGAAATTAGTTTAAGGGTGTCTAAATCACTGTTTTTGTATAAACTGCTGCTTTGTGTATAATTTTGAATGATAGCATAACCCAGTAGATCTTGAGAACCACTACAAATCACTGTTATTTAAAATTTAGTTCTGCTGAAAATGTTTAAAATGCTTCTGTAGGCTGCTTTATTATGGTTTCGTGGAGAGTTTGGGAAGTACTTTTCTGGTAGTTACGATGCCTTTTCAGGAAGGAGGTGTGAATTCTAGAGTTAGTTTGAAAGGAACCATTCCCTCCCTGTAAGGTGCTATGACAGAGTACAGATTTACTTGGAGGTCTAAGAACCTGTAACTTTTTTATTAGTGTTGTCTGGCTTGGCGTTTAGGCTTGCAAGTTAGGTGAGACAGGTTGAGCAGTTATGCGTCTGCTGCTATCATTTCACGCTAGACCTTGCTTTTTCTTGAACTAGTCTTCTAGGAAGACTGAGGTGGGAGCTATCTTACATTTCTCCTATTGAATCTGAGAGAAGAGAATACAAAAAAAGGTAGAGAGAAAACAGCTTTAGTCTGATGGTGAAGGTATCAGCTTGTCGGGAGGTAGATGAGGGTTTTGCTCTCTGCCCACTGAATGCTTATGCTGTCTGCCTTTAAAATGATAGATTAAAGTAGTACAAAGTTATGTTTTATAGACTCTTTTCAGAGATATTTTTAGTAAGTGTCTAAAGTTTTTGGCCAGTGATCTTACTAAGAAGATCTTGAACTTGCTTTGATGAATGCCGAATGTTTTCCAAGAGTTTATTCTTTAAAAAACTGAACAATGCCTCCAACTGTGCCTGTTTCCCAAACCTAGTGATTCAAGTTGTGTAGTAACTGTGTTGAACATGAACAGCTGTATGCAAGTGCTAGCAATATTTATTTTTCTCATGTTCTGGAACATAGAAATGAACCTCATTCTTTATGTTGAGGCTTTTTTTATGGCTTGAGGTTATTAGGAGCTGGGGTTGAGATAATCACGATTCTGCATTTCATTGAGAATTATTTTTTTAAGGTGGTTACTTTTGTACAAATAAGTTTCTTAAAAGCATTATTCTAAACAAGATTTATTAGCAATTGCTTGAAATTTCTTTGAAATGTAAATTTCATGCCTGTGGGTTTTTAGGAAAGATTTTTGTTATTTGTTACAAATAAATCATTGTTAGCTTATTTGTATTAGAAAGTTTTAAATTTATGCATCAGTGTGGAAATAAAAAGTTATTTGTGATTTAGTGCTTTATGATGTTGCTGCGCACGTAAACAGTGTAAAATTACTTAACGTAAGATGGGTGCATGAGGAGAAGGACTTGGGAGTGCTGGCGGATGAGAAGCTCAACATGAGCCGGCAATGTGCGCTGGCAGCCCAGAAAGCCAGCCATATCCTGGGCTGTATCAAAAGAAGTGTGGCCAGCAGGTCGAGGGAGGTGATTCTGCCCCTCTGCTCTGCTCTCGTGAGACCCCACCTGGAATACTGCGTTCAGCTCTGGTGTCACCAAAGCTCCGGACAGAAACTCTAACATGGTTTGCAGTGTTAGAAAGCATCATTACTTGATTGCGGCGCCGGGTGCATGGGGGATATCTCCTTCTAGTGTGCACACCTGGCTCCTGTGCAGAAACTTAATTATACACTACGACCATGCATATTTATAACATGTTTACATTTTCATTGTTATTCTCTTAAACAGTTGGTTAATTTTCTCTTGCTTTACATGTTAATTACTTTGCATGCTCAGTTCTCTTCATCCACTTTCTTTTGGGTCTGGGGTATGTTTAGGGTAGGTGGTCCATGAGTCGGTGGTCGCAATCTCCCCCTGCCGGAATTACCTTTCCCCAAGTCACTGCTGCGTGTGTTCACAGTTCAGAAAAATGTGAGAACAAAGTTTGTATGTTCTCTGGGATGTTCTCTTCAAGGACAGACAGTTCTTGATAAAGAGTCTCCCTTCTAATCACTCCTAGCAGCTTCAAGGATGCTCATCTTGTTATATTCCTTAGGTATGTGCAAACTGCCTACTAAACCCTTCATGAAATTCTTAGAAAAGTTTTAACCCCTTCATTGCTGGAGAACACTGGGGCCCTCATTATAAAAAGGGCATGGAACTTTTGAAGTGGGTCCAGAGGAGGGCCACAAAGACAATCAGAGGGCTGGAGCACCTCTCCTCTGAAGACAGGCTGAGAGAGTTGGGGCTGTTCAGCCTGGAGAAGAGAAGGTTCCAGGGAGTTCTTATAGAGGACCTACAAGAAAGTTGGAAAGGGACTTTTTGCAAGGGTGTGTAGTGATAGACCAAGGGGCAATGGCTTTAAACTGAAAGAGGGGAGATTTAGAGTAGAGATAAGGAATCAATTGTTCAGCCTGAGGGTGATGAAGCACTGGAACAGATTGCCCAGAGAATTTGCGCTGCCCCATCCTTGGAAGTGTTAAAGGCCAGGCTGGGTAAGGCTTTGAGTAATCTAATCTAATCTAATAGAAGGTGTCCCTGCCCATTGCAGGAGGGTTGGAACTAGATTTTCTTTAAGGTCCCTTCCAACCCAAACCATTCTATGATTCTATGCATCACAGAATTACAGAGAAGTCCCTTTCATAACTCAAAATCCAGTTTAGTGATCTTTAGCCTTTGATATAGGAGCCTTTGGGACTCCACAGACTGTTTTTGAGACCCCCATGTCAGTTGATTAATAGCAAAATCCCCAACCCACCATATTGTCAGTAAATTTGAATTTGTTGCTCAATACTGCCTCTAAAGGAAAACTTTGTAGGGCTCTGAGAGTCCAAAAATGCATTGAAAACCATTCATCTACTCTCCTCCCCTATCCTTACATCACGAGATTTTTCAAAGCCCTGTATACTTTCACTTTTGTTAAGCTTTTTTAAAGAGAGATGTGACAATGCAGGGGAAATAGCAGGCAGAAGCAAATGTAAGTGATATCCACATGAAGAAACAGAAGTATAAGGACATAGAGGTTGGACATAAGCAGGAGGCAAATGAGGAGGACTGTTGTTAGAGTAATGGGAATGAGATTCAGGACATTAATTGCAAAACTCCCTTCAGTTTCAATGGGACTGAATGAGGTTTTAAACTTAAAACAGTGGAACCAGGAGGGTGAGGAAGAGGTACTAGATTAAATGTTTGAAGTTAAATAAAAAGCAGTTCTTGATCTCAAATGAATGCGACCATTTGTAAGTATATAAGGCCAGAAACTTTGCTTTTGGATAGTGATTGTACATTTATTGACACATGAAAGAGGCTGCAAACAGCCCCTTGAGTTTATTATAGAACGTGAAAATATTTTATGTTTTAACTGGTGTGTTGTGTGAAAGATTTTAAAGATCAAAATAAACACAATTTTACTATATCATTTTAGGATGTTAAAATACCTAAGGTAGTCATCTCAATAGCTGTTAACTTTGAAGACAGACGCATCTGGAAGCTTCTGGGTCAAGGAGAGGAGCTGCATGGCTTCTCCACTGTCATGTACTATACTGCTACTCTGATAGAAAATTAGGGGTTACTGTAGTTACTCCACTTCCCCGGCAAACTAGTGCTTTGCAATATATAACAAAACAAAATGTACGAACTTAAGATCCATCTGTTCTCCTTTCTGAGGCTTTAGAAACTGGAACTGTCATTAATAGGAAATACTGGTAACGTACTGAATACAGTAATGTCTCTAAGGCCTTGCTCATTCAGAGCTTTGATTTTGACATTTTCAAGTTAAAAGTGGAAAGTACTTCCTTTTTATTTCAGAGTGCAAGATCAAGTTCCAGGTTTATAGCCAATCATGTTGGTTGATTTTGATTTGTAGATGGCAAACATAGTAAGCCTTTATTTGAAAAGTCAATCTGTATATCAGATGGTTTTAGTAAGGAACTTATTTTGCACTTGCTCTATTATTGCTAAGATCGACTGCTTAGTTTTGTTATGTTTTATAAGCTATATTAAAGAGCTGATGTTAGATTAAAAGTATGAAGTGTGCTGATAAGTTGATTTGCTTTGCTTGCAAGTGTGGGAGGGAGATACGTTATAGTAAGGAAATCCTATTGTTTTGCAGTCTTCGAGTATGTAAATGTTTTATAATAATATGTTACAGTTTCATAATGTCTGTGTGTTTTACAAACTTATTAGACAGTACCAGCCTCATCAGACACTTACATACATTTACATCTATGAGTAGAACCTTTGGGATCAAGGCCTATTAACAGGAATTATATGGCCACTTTTGATGCAGGTTGAGTAAAGAAATGTGAGTGCCCCTGAACTGAGCTT